TCCCGCCCACACCCCCCCTGCGCAGAGCCCAAGCGCCCGGTGCGAGCGCAGAAGCCCATTCTGCCCGTCCCCCGATTCCATATAAAGCCGACCCCCCACCCCCCCCCACCTACCGACATCATCCCCCATCACCCTCCGCGCACCCACCCCCCGCTTCCACTCACTCTCCTCCTTCCCAAGCCAGCGGTCGTCCCCCAACAGCTCGCACCCGCACCATGAGCGCCCTCTCCCTCGCCCTAGCGGCGGCCCTCGTGCTCTCGCTCTCCTCCTCCGTCTCCGCGCACGCCCTCATGTCGCTCCCGGAGCAGCGCGGCGTGCTTCCGGGAAGCAAGTTCGCCCCGTTCATCCCGGGCATCCCCGACGCGCCGAAGGACACCAAGCCGCATTTCCCGGCCGGCAACAAGGACAACCGCCCGGGCTCGGGCAAGCTGTCGCAGGAGCGCGCCACGGGCTTTGTGTGGCGCATGTTCACGCCCGAGTCGAGCACCTACCGCTGGCCGGCCGGCGTGTGCGGCGACGACAAGAACGGCCCGCAGGACCACATGCGCGGCGGCGAGTACTACTTTGACGGCCACATCGTCGGCGAGTACCCGCAGGGAGGCGTGCTCGAGTCGAAGCTTTCCATGGTCGCGCATCACAACGGATTCATCGAGCTCCGCGTCTGCGACGTCGCCAAGTGCGGCGGCGAGATCTCCGAGGCCTGCTTCCGAGAGGGCCACTGCAAGCTCCTCGAGCGCACGCTCGAGCCGTCTTGTGAGTCCCGCGTCGACAAGATGTGCGGCCCCAGGGACCCGGACTACCCCGGCCGCTGGTACGTCCCGTGCACCACGGGCGCTGAAATCGATCAGTATGGGGGCGAGAAGATGCGCTTCAAACTCCCGGCCGATCTCACCTGCGAGCACTGCGTCCTCCACTGGTACTACGGAACGGCCAACGGATGCAACCCGCCGGGTGTCAAGGAGTACTTCCGCGGCCCGCGCGGCCCGCAGTGGGGCACTTGCAGGGGCGCCGCCGGCGCCATTGGTGGATACACATCGGTGCAGAAGGACTGTGGGTCGGAAAAGTACGCCGAGGAGTACTTCCAGTGTGCGGACATCCGTATCGGCTCCACGTCCGGCCGCAGCGGCGATATGCCAGACTACGACTCAGAATCCGAGATGCCAGACTCCGACTCGGAATCCGAGCCTGACGCGGAGGTTGAAAAGCCGACTCCCCCGACGGAGCCCGTGAGCGTACCCGTCGAGGAAGATGACGACGAACCGGACA